GTGAAGACGTCCTCCTCTGTCACCTGCAGCTCCAGGGCCTCACTGCGCTCAGACCAGCTATTAGGCGCTTGTTCATAGAGGCAGCGGTAACTCCCCGCAGTGACCTCACTCACCACAGGGAAGAGGAATCTGGCCTCTGTCCCCTTCATACCCCCTTGAGATGCACGTTTCTCATAAGGATATACAGGTCTTCCATCCTTCTCCAGGTAGAACGAATGAACCCCAGCTGGGCCCTGGCACACGAAGGTCACAGGCCATCCCCACGGGATCACAGGGCCTGGCTCGGCCCTGATGGAGGGTTTGGGCAGGGCCCCTGGGAGAAAACAGAGCAGGATCTCAGGCTCCATCATGAGGAATTCTCTACACCTCACACCTCCCGGGTTTTAAGCATGCAGCTCAGTGGTTCTTAGCAAACTCACAGAGCTGTGCAACCCTCAACACAGCCCAATTCTAGACCATTCCCACCATCCCTTCCCCCAAACCCTGCATCTTCCCTCTCCAGGAAACTGAATTCTCATCACTCCAATGACTTCTCCACGTGACACAAGTTCTGGTGACATTGTGTGCTTTTCCCAGTGAGACATAGGAGTTGTCAGAGAGCATGGGGCCCCAGGAATGTCTCCCTCTCCACCGCCACTCTCCACGAGGGCAGACACAGCTGGGAGGGAGGCAGAGGATGAGGATGAGCAGGTCACTCAGGGGACAGGGACGCTGGAGTGGGAGAGGGTGGGAATGACCTGGCTGGGTCTAAAGGCAGCTGGGGACATTGTGGGGACCAACAAGGGCTGCAGCCCCCCATGAGAAGTCCAGTGGGGGTGGGGGTGGGGGTGGGGTTGGACACCAGCCCAGACCTGCTCACAGGACCCCAGTGGGTGAGGACCCCAGACTTCTGAGCATGTCCTCTGAGCAGCACTCACTCAGGTTCCCTCTGCATTTTCCACTTCCCTCTCAGCCCATTTCCATTTCCTTGTGATTGAGGCTCCTGAAACCCCAAGTGTCTAAACTGGACTGGGCAGGGGAAGAGAGGGCTCTAGCCCTGAAACAGGAAGAAGGCATCCAAGTTACTCAATCCCTGATGGAGGCAGAGCTGGCCGAGACCCAGAACTCATTCCCTCCTTCCTTCAGCCACAGCTTAGCTCCCATCTCTCCCTTTACAGACGCCTCCTTGTGCCATTGGCTCCACAAATAGGAGAATCACAGGAGGGTCCCTGCCTTCTTGGGGGAAGGGTAGAGGGAGCACAGAGCTGAGGGGGGAGTGTGCAAACCACCGCCACGCGCTGTGATACTCGCCCAGGGCTGAGTGTGGGAGGCTCAGGGTGAGTGTGGGAGGCTCAGGGCTGAGTGTGGGAGGCTCAGGGTGAGTGTGGGAGGCTCAGGGCTGAGTGTGGGAGGCTCAGGGTGAGTGTGGGAGGCTCAGGGAGAGGGGGGCAGAGTTAACCTCTCACAGGCAGAGCTGGGAGGGACTGAGCTGAGACCAGAGGGTCAGGTGGGAATGAGCCAAGCCCAGCACAGGAGCCCTCAGCCTGTGAGGCAGTCACCTTAGAGACAGAACATGGTGTTTGTGAAAGTGAAAGAAAGGCTGGTTTCTGAAGGCAACTTAGCCAGAGGGCGTGAGAACAGACAGATCCAGACAAAGAGAGAGGCTGGGGGCTCATTCCAGCTGAAGATACACCTGGAGAGGACTCTAAGGAAATGCAATATTTTGCCTGAAAAAGAAACTTGTATGAAAAACTCCATTTAAAAAGGCGGACTCACCATCCTGCATGTGGATCGTCTGGCCCAGGCAGAGCACTGCAAGGGAAGGTCTGGTGAGAACAATGCCCAGAACCCGGTCCTCCTTGGGCTGCAATCAGGAGGTCTTCCTGGAGGCAGCCAGCCAGTCATGGAGAAATTCCCAGGCTCCCCCCTCAGACTTCCCTCTGAGCACCATCCTGATTCCTGCTCATAGTTTCCAGGCAACCCCCTCCCCTCCCTTCCAATCAGGTCCTCAGTCAGAACCTGTCCCCACGCCCAGGCACCTGCTTCTAGGACTGACCCTCCCATGGTCACACTTAGGTCGGGGCCAGAGCTGAGGGGCCAGGACCCCAGGAAGAACCACGAGTCTCCTGGGCTGGAGTCAGGACTGAGCAGGGATGTAGACGCCTCCCCAGCTCCCACCCCCTCCGTCCCTGGAATGCGGTCCCTCCATCCAGGACTCACCAAGGCCCAGGAGGGTGGAGGGCCGGGGGCTCATGGCCAGCCTCTCCCAGTCTTCTCTGTCCTTGTCCACCTGGAGGAGATGAGTCTGCCTGGGTGAGGGAGGACAGGGTCCTGCAGGTCAGTGAATGTGCAGGGCGGCTTTAAAGGGGCTGTGTCATGTGTCATTTCCGTGGTTTCTCATGAACGGGGGCGGGGTGCTTCTTGCCCCAAATCTAGTTTCGCCAATTTGGGTCCAGAGAGGCCTTGGTGAAAGGATATGAAAAACTGAATTTCTAGTTTTTTCATGAAGCAGCTTCTAGTGAAATATGTCCTAACCAGGCTAAACCCATGACCAGATGAAACTGACATGGTGTTAATTCACCAAATAGACAGACATAGATAATAGATAGATAGATAGATAGATAGATAGATAGATAGATAGATAATAGATAGATAGATAGATAGATAGATGATAGATAGATAGATAGATAGATAGATAGATAGATAGATAGATAGATCCTGGATAGATACTGGATAGATACTGGATAGCTGGACACTCAGTTACATAGATGTGTAAGTTGTCAAATAGATAAATATATAGATGGAAACATGGATATAAAGATAGTTACTATGATTACTATGATACTTATAAACACAAACAGATATTGGAAACATAGATATACAGATAGTAAGAAGATAATTATATAAGTTACAGTGTTGAATAGATATATAGACAGATACACAGAGAGATATGTAAATACATAGATATTTAGATACATAGTTCCATAGATAGATATATAGATACAATGATAGATACTTAGATACAGAGAACCATAGACAGACAATACAGGCAGGGAAACTTAATGGCTTGCCTTCTGGCCCTCACAAGCTGACTGTCCCCAAACCACACATTTCCTTATGCAAATGCTTCAGTTTCTCAGTGCAAAGGGGAAACCATGAAACTCTCTGACACATCCATCCTGTTACTGGGAGAGCACAGGGAGCTGAACAAGACACTGGAAGGGCTCAGCCTGCTCCCCCCGCCCCCATGCTCCCCAGGGCAGGCAGCACCCAGCTCAGGCTCCATGCCCTTGTCTCTGTGCCCGGTGACCCTGGGCTGCCACCCGCACACTCCCCTGCCTCCCAGCTGACTCGGGTTATTTCAAACTGAAAGCCCCCAAGTCCACAGGAGCAAATGCACTAAAGAAAGTGTCATGTTGTCCACACGTTTTTTGGTAGGACTTCCGGGAAGGTTGAATTGGCACAGGACACAGGGGTCCGGGCTTGTGGCTGCAATTCCCTCTGGATGAAGATAGGCATTTGTGGGTCCATTTAGGGCACAGAACACAGACACTGTGACTAGGGAAGGTGGTCCCGTAGCCTCTCCCCTCACAACACTGAGGTGCATCCTTGTGACCTCCCAGGGGAGGGGCCCCCCAGGAGGAGGAGACAGAGGAGAGTCAGGACCTGGAGGGAAAGGCCTGAGACTCCTCAGGTCCCAGCCCAGGGAGGGCTGTGGAGGCTGCAGCCCCAGGCCGGCCCCAGGCAGAGCTGGGCCATCAGGAGGGCAATGGTGGGGGAGGGGAGGATGGGGAACTTCTCTAATAGTGTCAACAATACAGACAAGACCATCAGAAGGGGGAAGTGTGTACTATCCAGTGGCATGTTGTCCATTCACCATCTTGTGAGCCATTGCTTCTACTTCATTTTAAATTATTTTCATCATCCCCCAGCCCTGCAAAAGAAATGGGGTGCCCACTGTATCCGTGCAGGTCTGTCACAGACACAGGACCAACAGGCCTGTATATACAGAGAGATGTCTGTGGCAGGATTGGCTCACACAATCCAGGAGTCTGGCAAGTGCAAAACCTGCAGGGAGGGCTGGCGGCTGGAGACCAGGGGACCTGCTGTTGCACCTCAAGCCCCAGCAAGTTTTCCCAGAAGAATCCGGGTTCAGTCCTGTTCTCTTCAGCCCATCTGAGGAGGCCCACCCACCTGATGGAGGGCAGTTTGCTTCCCTCCCATGTCTTAGAGGCCCTGGGTGGGCTGGGCTGGGAATTGTGGTGATACCCAGAGCAGCGAGTCCAGGTTTATTTCAAAGAGTCATGTCTCAGGAACCCTATGAATAAAAGCTCAGACCAGAAGATTGAAGCAAAAGCATAGAAAATTTATTGCAAGCAGAGTCAGACTCCCTGCATGGGGAGAGGGCTCAGTCATGGTGGCCACTGAAGCCTGTGGTCTAGGGGTATGTATTTGCTACAAACCTGCTCTCTATCTCCCCCTGTGGCCACCTGATGAATTCTCTCAATTGTTCTTGCCCAGAAGCAGACCTGAACCTTCTGGGTTCCTATGCCTCAGCTCACCTTATTGTTGAGGCCCCTCCCAGTCTAAAATCATCCTGTTATTTCTGCGCGGTTGGCTTCCGTGATTAGATTGGCTCACGTGGCCGTGTCTGCCCTGCCTCCGTTCCACCTGCCTTGTTTCCCCTGGGGCTCTGCCCTGTCTGCCTGCCTGTCAATCAAGCTGAGTCCTCTCGATGGTCCTGGGAAGATGAGGGGTTGAGGCCAAGCTTCCTAACCCACGTGGGCCTGGGTTCTCTTGTCCTTGAACAACAGCGGGGGCGACTCTGGGTCTTTGGGCTCCAGGGTGAGCCTCGGGCCCCCGGTGAGGTCCCTGCTGGGGCCCTGGGATCCCCTCTCTCCGGGGGGCTCGCTTGTCTTTACTCCTGTGGTCCCTGTGGGGTCCTGCGCTGGCTGTGCCCAGCTTCCACCAGAATCGCCACCAGGATCAGCAAGACCACGCCCGCCAGGCCCAAGCGGATGCTGTTCTCCACTGTGTAATCCCGGGAGGCGGGGCCTGGAAGCAGAGGGCAGGGGTCACTGACAGGTGGACACAACTGGGCCAGTCCAGGCCCTCGGAGGCTGGAGCGCCTTCTCAATGGGGGAACCTGCCCCTCCCCTATACCCCTGTGCACACTCCCCGATGGCTGACCTGTCTGGGAGGCCGATTCTGTGGCTGAAGGTGTCACTTCTGTGGGTGGGAGGGTGATGGCGGGGCGTGTTGCTAGAGACAGGAAGGGTGACGGACGTCTCAGGCAGCCGCTCCCCTTCTCTGGACGCCCTGCTCTG